GCATGCTTTGGATTAGACAGACAGGGTCTTGGGCTCTTCAGCTGCAAACGGGGAGAAGCCAGGCCTCACCGGGTCCCCAGGGCCCAGGCAGACCTGCCGTTGTCTCTGGCAGTTGCGGCGAGTAGGCTCCGACTCGTGGTTCAACAGAACAAAACTCTGCCCCGGGCCCCAGTCCTTTCACCGTGGTTGGTTTGCTCAAGTCGGCTGTCATGGCCGCGGCGTACGGAGGGTCTCGATTCTCCGGCTCTGTAACCTGTTGCGATCCGTAAGGCCAGGCCTCTCTTGCTGGTCTCTCCTAGTCCGGAAGCATTGCTGAAACTGGTCCACCACAGGACATAGCTTCTTGGCAAACCCTCACAGGAGGTGACCACGAGCGGCACAGGGTGGGTAGGTGAGGGGTCAGCCTCAGATACTGGCCGTCACACCAGACCTGGCCCTCTTGGGCTCTACGTCTGGGTCCTAGCCCTGGTACCAGGTACTGGCCTGGTCCTCAGAACCCAGGCACTATTTCCGCCCTGCCTTTGCCAGTCTGCCTGGAGCAGTCTACACCCTCATGGCTAGGCCGCTTCCATTTGTCACCCTTCCCTCTGCTGGTCCAAACAGCCCCACCCCGCTTAATTGTGTTTTCCTGGCCGACGTTATCTGCTGTCCGCCTTGAGTACCAGCTTCTCCGTCTTTACGCCACCCTGGAGGTGAGCGGGGCGCTGGGCTGGCTGTGGAGCCTAGGAAACCCTTGTTTACTCAACCTGCCCAGTGCCAGGAGCCCCGGGGGTGCCCACGCTCCATCCCGGCTCAGGTGGGGCCTAGGTCCGAGATGACGTGAAGGCTGCCGGAGGCACAGCCTGGCCCTGGGAGGGATGTAGGGAGGTGGCAAACCACCTCCTCTCTGCCTAGTCCTGTCACCAAAGCCCCCCTAATCCTGTTCCCCCATCCCTAAGTAAACTATTGTTCCTCCATTCCCACCAGGCCCAAGGAAGGGGGACCATCAGCCCCCGGGACCCCTTCTCCCACCCTCTTAACAAGCCTCACCCTCCTACTAAGAGGAGGCAGCACCTGTCACCTGCTGGGTCTGACTGGGCATCAATGCCCCCTAACCTGGCAGGTACCTTGGCCCCCCAACAGGCCCTGTGGGAGGAAGACGCAGGACTCTTGGTCCTGGAAAAACAACACCTAAGTACCAGCAGCCAGCTCTATACAAACTCTTTAATGCAGTAACAGCAGCTTCAGCTTTCCCGTCCCACCGGGGGTGTGGACAAGCCGGTGTACCTTACAGTGACCCCGGGAAGATGCGTCACCGCGCTCATCTACCACTGTGGAATGATGGGCTGTGACCACCCGGAGGGCCCGAGGTCATCCCGAGGACTTGATGCAGCAGAGGCCTGAGGGGGTGGTGGTGGTGGGGGGTGGGATTCCCTGAAACCCACCGGTGGGGTGACAGGTGGGAGGTTGCTTCACCTGCCACAGGCCCCGGCAGCCGACCACTGGCCGACAAGGCGCCCCCAGCCACAGGGCTGTGCTGACAGCATGCTGCGTGGAGGGCCCGGACTGACCACTCCCTGGCTCCGGTTTCCTGCTGCTCAGCCTTGTGGTGCTCTAAGGACATCTAAGTCACGTGCTGTCCCACTTTGCCCCACAGGCAAGGGAGGCAGGAGGGCTTCCAGCAGGGAAGGGGTAGCAAGAGGCGCTGGGTTTGCTGTCACCAGGCCCAGGCCGCCCCTCCCCAGACCGCAGCAGCCCTGCCCACCCGCCCTGCCCTCTCACCAGCACGCAGCCTCCCCCCTCCCCAAGAAAACCCACTCGCAGCACTGTAGAGTTCCAGTCGGGTGAAGTGGGAAGGCTGGGGGGCTACGCTGCAGACAGGAGGTGGGGGAGCTGTCCCTCCTCAGTCAGGGAGCCCCAGCTCTGGGGTCCCAGGCAGGGGGCGCTCGAAGGGCCCCACGTTGAGCGGCCCTGAGGTGGGGCTGCCTGAGGCTGGAGTGTGGGGCAGGGGACAAGTCACAGCTTTCGGACAAGTGGTTGGGCCCCTGCTGGAAAATGCCATCAAGTATGAAAGGTGTCACTTAAGAGAACACAAACTAGCTTATGGATTTTTCTGGAAGACGTCTCCCAGCCCACCAATACAGGGAGCTGGGCCTTGCTTCTGTGATGGGAGGGGCGGGGAGAGGGCTCCTGGCGCATCCAACTACTGGGATGTGTGTGTGTGTGTGTGTGGGGGGGTGCGGGGGGACAGGGCCTGTGATGGGCCCGGCCAGGGACAAAGGCACAAGTAGCCCCAGCACAGGGCAGGGAGGGAGCCACGGGGAAGGGAGCCACTGCTCCGAGGAAGCGACACTCAGAAAGCAGCTGAGACGACTGCAGGACAGCCTCCTGCGCTCACAGGCCGGGGGCTGGGCCAGGCGGGCACCCCCCCCCGCGGTCAGCTGCTGCCCGTGCCGCGCAGCTGGGGCCCGAGGGAAGGGGGGCGAGAACAGAGGTGCGTGTGGGGGGCTGCCAGAGAGAGGAGGCAAGAAGAACTCCGCCTCGAACGTTATATATTAAAAATATCCGTAGTCCTTGTGCACACAATTCCATCATTCACATGGGAGTATCACCCGGATCCCCCCGCTGGCCCAGGAAGAGCTCCGAGACAAAGACGGTGGTTTTCCTTTTCAAGCCGAGGAGCCATGGCTCAGTCTTTATGGACCTTGAGAACTGGTGACACCCCCCGGCCTCTGCCTGGGCACCGAGACGCTGGGAGGTCGGGAGGTGGGGAGGCGCGGGGGTGGGGCAGGGCCGGTCACTCGTGCCTCCGTTTGGAGGGGGGGATGAGGTGCGGGGGCAGGTCGGCGGGCAACTCGTGACCCTCCAGCTTGACCTTGATGAGGTGGTTGGCCAAGGCGAACTCCTCGTCGTCCAGCAGCCCGTCCCTGTCCACGTCGGCCAGCTTCCAGATCTTGCCCAGCACCGTGTTGGGCAGCTTAGACTTGACCATCTCCTTCTTGGCGTTGGCCCCCGTGATCTTGCCGTTGACAGGCGACAGCGTGTAGAAGATCTCGTCGTAGGTGGGCTTGTCCTTGCCCACCACCCACTCGACGTCATCGATGCCCTCGCCGGCGCCCTCGCCGTAGCCATGCCCGAAGGGCCCGTTCATGGTGCCCTCGAAGGCGCCGCCCTTCACCGCCTGGGAGGGCATCTGGGACTCCTCCTGTCGCACCATCACCATGAGCCGGGCAATGTCGTTGGCCAGCATATCATCCACTGTGTCCAGCAGCTTGGGTTTCAGGGCCTGGAACTTGCTGAAGTCCTGGGTCTGGAGGAGTTCCTGGGAAGAAGGGAAGCAAGGGGAAAGGCTGAGTGGAGGAGCCTCCTGAGTGGAGGGGCCCCTGGACTGGGCCAAGGCCAGGGCCACTGGACCCTGCGGCTACAGGACACACTGGTCCAGGAAAGGGCCCCTTGTGGGCTCCATCACAAGCCGCCTGGGCACTCGGCCTCGCTGGACTCTGGTGTCCTAAGCAGTAAAATAGGTAACAGCAGGCCTCCCGGCAGGGCGGTGACACACCAACCGATGACTTCCTACCACTCAGGGCCAATCACCCGTTCCTCTGTGCTGTGTCACTCCGGGTCCACCTCTGGACTTGGGGGGGGTGCTGCCAAGGTGACGAACCCCGTGGCTTCAGCTGTCGGAGGCCCAGCCCACAGAGCCTCCCCGGGCAGCTGTACCTGCATCTTGCGGAGGCTCGGGAAGTCGCCGGGGGAGATCTGGTGCTCCCGCTCGATCTTCTGGTAGATCTCCCCCAGGTTGCTCACGAGCTCCTTCTTCTTGCTCTCCTTTCCGAAGACATTGGGCATCTCCTTCTTGAGGGAGCTGATGATGTAGGCATGGACCTGGAAGAGGCAGGGGAGAAGGTCAGCCTGCCCACGGCCCTGTCACGGGTGCTGCCCTCTGCTGAGGGACAAGTGAATGGTGAAGGGGGTTCCAGCTCTGGGTTGCTGCCTCCACTGTGGGGCCCCATGGCCAACAGGGGCAGACACACAGTGCTGGCCGCGGGGCGACCTCTCACTGCCACGGGACTGGAGGGGAAAACGCATGTGAAGCAGAAGCAGAAGGCTTCCATCAACAGTTCACGGTGAGTTTAGAAACAGTGAGGCCAAGTCTGTCGACAAAGCCAGGACTGTTCAACGAGCATCATCAGGCACTTCACGGAGATGTAGAATCCAAACCCACTGCCGTGGAGTCGATTCTGACCCACAGCACCCCTAGAGGACAGAGTGGAACTGCTCACAGGGTCTCCAAGGCTGTCAATCTTCACAGAAGCAAAGCCCAAACCACACCCACTGCCCTGGAGTCCATCCTGACCCACAGCGCCCCTAGAGGACAGAGTGGCACTGCCCCATAGGGTCTCCAAGGCTGTCAATCTTCAGGGAAGCAGACTGCCCCATCTTTCTTCCACCAGTGGCTGGTGGGTTCAAGCTGCCGACCTTTCAGTTAGCAGCTGAGCACTTGACCGCTGCACCACCAGGGCTCCAGGCACTTCACACACTCTCCAGTTAATCTTCACTGTGACCCTACAGGGTCGAATTTTTATTATTTCCCTTGTACCAATCCAAAGATTAAGGCTCGGAGAGGGTGACTTATCCAAGGTCCTTGGCTTGTGAGTAGAAGAGCTGGGGGCTATGAGGCCCCTGCCAACGCCCAAAGCCCATGCCCTTTCTGCGCGTCCCCTCCCCTAGCTCCCCTCCCCCAGGCAGCAGAGATGTGGGGTACATTCCCTGCAAAGGCCAGCAGAGCCCCGCCCATCCGTGTGACGCGCTCCGTGTGGGTAGAACGCTTCCGCGTAGTTTATAATTCCCCAGCGGAGCGAGGTACACCCCACCTCATCATCGGGACATCTGTCAGCTGCTTCTAGTTTGATCTGAGCTCCAATACCTTGGTTAGGCACTGGTCATCAGAGGCGACACCCCCCGCCCCCCACGGTGGCCGTCACTGCTGGACTTTCTCCAGTCTCTCTGCCGGCCGGGCAGAGCCACCAGGGGCTCTGGGGGTCTTGCTCCACTTCTCCCGCCTGCCATCTCCCCCCACCCCCCGGGCCCCTCAGCTCAGCCGTGGCGGCCATGCTGGCAGATCTCGGACTTCCCGGGGACCCAGTGGCAGGAGGGTCACAGAGAGTGGCAGCCAGCACTATACCTGCTGGGCCAGTGAGCCTGGCAGAGCCACTCGCTCTGGAAAGAGGAAGAGTTTGGAAGAACAGGCGTGGGAGCAAACCGGAGACCCCGGGGTTTCCCAGGCCCAGTGACTCAGCGGCCGCAGGGGCAGGGGCCGTAGTGGCCCGAGGCTCTGCTGCCTGTCCAGGAAGGCAGGCTGGGACAGAGCAGAGGGCCTCGCCCTTAGCTGGCAGGGAACGGGGCCCTGCCCTGCCGCCCAGGCGGGGCCTCGTCGCAGGTTCTTCTCAGGACCTTGCCCTGCACCTAGGTCTCCAGGTTCTCATTCAGCGGAGGCCTAAGAATCTGCCTTCCTCCGAAGCTTCACTGCTGCTGGCCTGTGGACCACGTCTGGGCAGAGCCAGCACGGTGGTCAAGGCTGAAGGGTCCCCTCTCATTATAGGCCAGAAATGCCACTCTCCAGGCCCCAAGACAGCAAGGGAAACCTGGGCCGAGAACTGGTCCGGGTCATGGACCCCGGGCTCGGCATGCCTGCAGCCCCCTGGCTCTTCTGAGGACAGAGGGCCAGCCCTCACCGAGACCATGGGACCCACATTATGTTTTTCTGCCCATCTGCACCCCAAAGGTGGGGGCGTGCACTTCAGGGAAACCCCTCTACTCTCTGTGGTGATTTCTCCAGAGAAACAGTGGAGCACGGGGACCCTGGGGCAGCCCTCACTGAGGGGCCTGGCCTTGGATGACAGGACCATCCGCCAGCTGAGACTGTGTCCTGGGAAGGGCCAGGGCTGTGGCCAAAGCCCATCTTGCTCATGTGTCTGCAAGAACAGCTCGATACCCTGTGAATATGCAAGTGTTTGTACTTGGAGGTTCCCTGGCTGCTGAGACGGTCAAACTCTCCTGCCCACAGGGTCCAACATCAGCCACACTCTGGGACGACCCCTCTCCGAGGCAGCTCTCCTAAAGGGGCACATTTTGTCCCTTGGGTCTGAAGGCTCCAGTGCAGTGACCATCTGCTCCTAGCTCCAGGCACCCTGCGTCTCCTTCGAGCCCTTGGCTGGGCACCGACACAGGCGCCCCACAACTCCGAAGGCACCATGCAGTGCAGGCCTGTGCTTCCACAGAGGGCAGGACACGCCCCCTGCTCTGACCCAGGCTCCGCCTCCACGTTCCGGGCCGCACCTCGCCCCACCTCTGCACAGCTCACGCCTACCCTGGTTTAACCATCTGCCCCCACAGGAGAGCGCTGGGCCCAGGATCCGCCCACTGCGGCCCTCCCCGCCCCTGGCTGCTGCAGCACCCTGTACGTTCGCCCAGACAGAACACGGCTGACTTCATGGTTCAGTAACCGTCCTGTTTTCTCCATTAGGGCTGACGGAGCCAGGAGAGTGGGGGCAGTGTGTGTCATTCCTCACCGTGTCCCCATGTCCAGCCTGGGTGGGTGTGCCCAGGGCTCAATCAGCCCGGGCAGGCAGAGCCAGGAGGCTCAGGGCCCAGCCCACGCCCAGCCCAGGGCCTACCTTGGCTAGCCGCGCCCGCTTGATCAGGTCGTTGAGTTTGCGCAGGGCTGCGTTGCGCGGCAAGGACTGGATGTCCTTGAACAGGTCCTGCTCCTCGGCCTCGAAGAGCTTGCGGTTGTCGGGGATGAGCAGCGGGTGGGACCAGAAGGAGCCGATGTACACCCGGACCACCTCGGGCGTGTTGATGATCTTCCCCAGGGACCACATGAGCGCCCCGTAGACCCGCATCAGCTGCTGGGTCTCTATCTGGTCGGCCTTGTTCAGCACCACGCGGATCTTGTCCTCGTGGTTCTTCAGGGCCTTGATGACTTCCGAGAACTCGTCGGAGATGTCCAGCTTGTGGGCGTCAAAGAGCAGGATGATGCGGTCCACGCGCTCAGCGAACCACTCCAGGACCGCCGCAAAGTCGTACCCTGGGAGGCAGCGGGGGAGAGACGGGTGAGTTCAGGGTACATGTGCCAGGCTGCCCTGACGGCTGCTTTTAACTCGGCCGGCATTTCTTAGCCTGAGATCCTTTTTTGAACTTCTGGAAGATACCAAGCTGGACAGCATGGCACCCACAGGACAGGATCGCCGAGTCTCCCCTAGCTCTATAAGCACCGTGGTAGCCTCATCCATGTAGCCCAGGGTGTGAGTTAAAAACAAAAACCAACTCATTGCCATCGAAGCAATTCCGACTCAAAACGACCCCCGTTGGATTTCTGAGGAGCTAAATCTTTACAGAAGTAGATTGCACAGTCTTCCTTCTGCAGAGCGGCTGGTGGGTTTGAACCTCCAACCTTCTGGTTAGCTACCAAATGACTTAGGCACTGTGCCACCAGAGCTCCTTGGGGCCCGAGTAAGTGCCTACCTAAACCAAGGGAAGCCCCAACGCCCACGCTCTGAAGTGGAGGCGAGTGAAGAAGGGACCCTAGTAGCACTGCCCAGCACAGCACCCACCACTGTGCGCCCGGCTCAGCAGGGATCCCACAGCAGCCTACAAGCTGCCGTCACTAACTCCTCTGTGCCGTGGGCCAGGCTCCCTGCTCTACATGAACCTCATTGACTCTCTGCAACAGGGGGCAGCAAACTCCAGCCTGGGGGCCGAGGGTGGCCCGCCACCTGTTCTCAGGCACAGCGTTCTCTCAGCACACAGCCACCTGTGTGTACTGTCTGTGACTGCTCTTCCTCTGTAGGCACAGAGCTGAGTTGTGGTGACAGACACAAAACATTTATTATCTGACCCTATGGGGAAAGTTTGCTGACCCGTGTGCTCTACGATAAGCCTTAGGGGCTACAAACCACTTCCCTCTCTAGGTCTTCTTACTTCTCTAAAACGGGCTGGCTGTCAACTCTGGTCTACGCTGTTTCCCACTGATCCACTGAGGTCATCTGCTGAACCTTACCTTCTGGGCAGAGCCTGCAAATTAGAATCTAATGACAGAACTCTCTGGTTTTAGCTGAATTCATGGGGCAACCTTAAGAATGTACTTCCCAGCCGCCCTTGCAGCAGAAACCAACAGAAAAGGTGTATGAGGCCTTTGTCCTCCTCTGCCGTCCTGAGGACTGACTGGTGGTGCAGTGGTTAAGGCGTTTGGGGGGGGGGGGCTAACCAAAAAGACTGTCGGTTTGAACCCACCAAGCTAGTCTTTGGGAGAAAGATGAGGCAGTGTGCATCTGAAAAGACGTGCAGCCTTGGAAACTCTACAGGGCAGCTCCAGTCTGTCCTGCAGGGTTGCTAGGAGTCAGAACTGACTCAATGGCAGTGGGTTTGGGAGGTCTGATGGCAGGATCCACTTTGTGTTCAGAGATGAAAGCTCCTTGCTGAGGGCTTTTCCTGTAAGTTATCTGATATCTGACTTTAGTCATTGTATTTTCAGGGCTCACCAACAGCAGCTTAATTTGCACCCTACTTTACTGTGTCTCTCCAAGCTCCCAAGAACAAGCCAGGGCAGTCATTTTTGCAGACAGCAGTCTGGGACTCTGCCCAGCCACTGACCCAACCAACCCTTCCCCCTTACAGCCTGCTCCTCATATCCCGAGAGGTGCTTGCCACTGCTGACCAAGTCGAGGAATAAGACGTGCACTCTCCAGACCGTGGGAATAAAGAAAAGGACATGCATAGAGGAAAAGCAGAACCCTAAGTGACCCATACTGACATGTGGACGGAAGCCCTGCCATCCCCGTAAGGGGCCTGTGGAGTTAGTCCCAGTCGCCAAGGGAGGATCACAGCCAGCCAGGCCCTGTCATAGTGGTGTGCTGCTATCCCCATCCTGCCAAGCCCTCTGGCCGAATTCAACAGCCCAGGTGCCTGACAGCCAAGTCCGCCCTGGGCCAGATCCCAGGCCCCTCACCAGATCTTTCAGTAAACAGTTAACATGTGAAGTGTCTAAGGAGTGCTGTTTGGGTGGACAGACGCTCCAGCTGCCAGGCTCAGTGGCACCTCAGGGCTATCTGGGCGCCTGCAGCCACGAGTCCCTGCCTCCGCCTGCACCTGGGGTGCTCAGAAAGCACGTCTTTATACTAAGATGGCCCGAGGTTCGAATCTTGGCTCCACGCACTCACCGTGTGACCTGAAGTTCCTGCCTCAGCTTCTAAGCTACGATTTATCTGTGAAATTCACGTCTTTCGTTAAGATGACAGGAAAATGAGAGGACGTGGCCGCGGGTTCCCAGCACAGGGCTGGGATGGTGCCCATAGTCACAGGCCCAGGCCAGATGGGAGGAGCCACAAGGCCTGATGGGAAACTCCCTGTTCAGGGCGCCAGGGCCATCGGCTGTGACTCATCACTGGTCAGGAACTGAGAGCTCCGAGGCCAAGGAGAGCACTCACCGTTGTTTCAAGACACGGAAACTCCCGGAAAATCCCAAAGCTGCTGCTTAAGCTGACTCGCCGTGGGCAGCTTTTTTACAGCACCGATTTGTGACCACTTTCCTGCCCCCAAAACCAAACCCGCTGCCCTCGAGCCGACCCTAATTCAAGGTCAGAGTAGAACTGTGCTCCATAGGGTATTCCAGGCTGTGGCCAATCCCCCGTGGGTGGATTCGAACCCCCCACCTTCCGGTTACTAGCTGAGCGCTTAACTGTTTGTGCCACCCAAGGCTCGTTGCAGCACCCCTGGAACAGGACAGTCTGATCAGAGGCTGCCTTCTGAGTGGCGGGAACGTCTCACAGGGTGAAGGCGAGGCAGCTGGGGGCTGGAGTCTGAACTTCACTGTGGACACAGAAGCCCAGCCATCCTGCCAGGGCCTCTGCAGGGCCTGGGACAGCAGAGCTCAGGAAGTGTGGGACGGCTCCGGGCACGGGCCAGGCTACTCCTGGGGCCGGTGCCAGCAACTATGACAGGCTGCCGGCTCCAAAGTACAAGGCCACCAAAGACACCTGGATGCAGTGCCGCCGGCTCCCACACTGCGGGGCGGGATCCCACAGAGTCAAACTGTCAGTGTAGAACCGGAAGGAGGTGGGCCCAGGAGCAGCCGAACCCAGGGAAGTGGGGTTAGGGAGGGGGCTGCCCCCAGTGCCCTCAGAGCCCGTGCCTGGGCGGAGCTGTGCCAGGCCCCGGCAGGCACCCTGGGCGGGTGGGTGAGTCTCCGGGGCCTGCCTGAGGCCCAGCTGCAGCCTTTTATGGCCGGCTCTGGGAAAGCGTGACTCAAGGACTGATCACTGAGGGGAGGTTCCTCACTCAGCAGAAAGGAGGCCCAGCATCGCGCCGCCGTCAGACTGCCTCCAGCTGGAATGACTATAAATGCACACAGCTGGGCCACAGTGAGGCCAAAGCTAACTTATTCGGAGCCGGGATGTCCTGATGGGCTCGGGCTCAGCAGATGTTAGCTTTGGCCTGGGAACTAGGACGCTGCATGGGGAGATTACATCACCCTCCCAAATTCCACCCAACGGGCTTCACTCCCCGCTACGGTGAGGGCAGGGAGCTCTGGTGGCATGGTGGATAAAACATCTGGGGGCTAACCAGAAGGTGAGCGGTTCAGACTGACCAGCCGCTCCGTGGCAGTACGATGGGAGGATCCACATTCATAAAGATTTACAGCCTCAGAAACCTGGTGGGGTCACTATGAGTTGGAATCGACTTGGTGGCTGTTTGGTTTGAGTGTGGTGAGGGCAGGGGGAAGGCAATGGGGACAGAGAAAGGGGGAGGAAGAACAAGTACCCCACAAGCAGGGCACCAACTCTATGGCTGCGAGCAGAGCCCGGGCCCCTCCTCCCCCAGGTTACTGGCAAACAGCTCAAGTTGACATCAATAGGGCTAAGTCCTTTCTTTTTTTGGTTTGGTGAGTGAAGTTTCCATTATTTTTGTTTTGTAAATTATAGAAAACGCTCACTTTTGGTGTGATGGAAACAGGGTGACAGGTCTAGTATATCCACACGTCACAAAAAGGATGACAACACGTGGTCTGTGCTGTGTTGTTGTGGGTGGTGCCCCTGTGGGCTGCACAATGCTAGGCCCCCTGCTGCCTGAGTCCACTAGGAAGGTGTGCCTCACTCAGCCTGAAAGAGCCACCAAAGTTGGAGACACAGGGGTAGTGAAAATGTCAAGTCCACACAACTGAGCAGAGCAGCAAGCCGGCCAGACACTTGGCCTGGAGCTCAGCGGCAGGTGACCAGGACAGAAAGCGGCGGGTGACAAGAACAGCCGGCCAGTGCCCTCGCCCAGCCACGAGCAGAGCCCGTCAGTTCCTGCCCCACCAGTGTGCCTTCAGGCTTTGGGACACCCTAGAGAGCTGAGTCAGGACAGAGTAAGTGTAGCCAACTGAATTAGCCATCAGACACCACTTAGTGTGACAGCCACCGTGCAGAAGTGGGAAGCCGTGGGGGGCTCAGAGAGAACTGTGCACGCCCACTGAGGTCACACACCATGCTCTGTGAGGTCAAGCCTGGGGCATGACAGAGCTCATACCTGCTATTCCCACCTGCCAAGGGGTGGGGAGCTGGGAAGACAAGGCTGGTCCAGGGGGCAAAGCTCTCTGGCTAGGTAAAAGCCAGCGCCACCTCTGAGAAGGGAACGTGAGCGGCCAGGACAAGCTCTGGAATGTCCTGGGCCGGGGGAACAGGGAGAGAGGAAATGGTTCCTCCAGGCAACCCGGCCGAGTCAGCTGTGGCCTGCCCCAGGGAAGTATTTACACAGGCTTTTTGGATGGGAGGCTGGAGCCTACCTCTGGTCTTGGCTCTATTCCCACACGCCTCCTCCAGGCCCCTCCGCGCTCAGCGGCGCCTAGCTCTCTGCAGGTGCTGGCTGGCGGCCTGCCGTTCTGCCTTCCTGACCGGGGTCAAACCGTCCTGTCCACTCCCAGCACAGAGGTGGACAAGGAGCTGTTTGGATGGGTCCTCACCCTACCCCACAGCACTCTCCAAAACACAGGTAGTTCCAGCAGCTGGGGGAAAAGCTGCCTCATACATTCCACAAGTTTCTAGAACACAG